CACTGTCACCCTGTCTGGTTCATGCCGTCATATTGTCTTGCTGGTTGAGCAGCATGGGAGCCTGCAGATATTGCCCCCCATAACTTAGGCAACACATCCTTTCCCCACCCCCCAACCCTTCACCTCCTATATAAGCCCCTTTACTCCCACATCCCCTGCCGAAGCCCATGTTGTTCTCCTCTGTACAGCTGCGTGACCCGGTTTGTGTGTCATCCAGTGACTCTACGGTGGTAGCTGGATGGCTGGCATGGGCGGAAGCAGATATGGCAGCCCATGCCTCACGCCGTACACACCCTTTATTCCCACCCTCATTCTTCACCTCCTGTTTTGTCCCTTTGTGCTGCCATCCCCTCATGCCCCCCGCTGTTTTTTTCCTATCACCAGAGGCTAATGGGGTTTTCCCACGACCGAAGTGACTCTACGGTGGTTCATGGATGAGGAGCATGGGCGGATGCATATGTTGCAGCCCTTGCTTCACGCAAGAGACACCCTTCCACCACCCCCTCACTCTTCACCTCCTTTTTTGTCCCTTTGTGCTGCCATCCCCGCACGATGCCCGCAGTGTTTTCCTATCACCAGAGGCTAATGGGGTTTGTGCACGATCCAGTGACTCTACGGTGGTAGCTGGATGAGGAGCATGGGCGGATGCAGATATTGCACCTCCTGCCTCACGCAAATAACACCCTTTCCCCACCCCCAAACTCTTCACCTCCCTTTCTGCCTCCGTGTGCCGCCGTCCCCTCATGATGCCCGCATTGTTTTGAGTAACATGGGATACGGTTTGTGAGTGTTCAGGGACTCTCTAAGGGGGTTGATGGAGGAGCAACAGGGGTGGATGCACACATTGCTTTCCACTGCCTCACGCAACACACCATTCCCCTCCCCCCCCCCCCCCCCCCTTCCCCCCCTACCTCCTGCCCCATTTGTCATTGACAACCAACGCTTGACATAGCCTACATGATTACCATCTCGACACGGGTGCGATATCGCGCACCATTGATGGTCCTAAACGCTAATCTGTAAGGTACTCTCAGCTGCCCCAAGCGTCTCCTCGCCCCCCTATACCCGCCCCCCTATATCCAACCATGTCTTATTCCCATGTCGTCCCCTGTCCGTGTATGTGTTATTCTACAGAGCAAGCGTGCGGCGATGGGCATTGCAGATATGTGGAAGGCACCAAGTGCACACCTTGATTTTACACTAGTAATTAGTCATACGCCTTACATGGATCTTTACGGTATTTGTTCTGCACACAATCACTCGCGTGATACAAGATCAGACATGAGTGCATTAGCCACTCTACTTCTGTTGAGACCAAAACTGCAACAAATAATACAAAGTATAGAGTCCTAGGCACAACTATCACCGCCACAATCCGGTGCGACGGTTTAGCCATCCACCCTAGACGCTGTAACTCCTGACTCAAAACTACGCATTCCAAAGTCTATGTCTTCGGGTGGATCCCACTCACCCAAGAAGAAATCAACATCCGACTGCGTGCAATTCCGGTAGCCCTCGTTCATTTGGACGGTCTCGGGGTACAAAGATCCTATCACAACGTACACTAACCATGGCAGTTTTACGTGGGCCTCTTGATCGTCTCCAAGCAGGTCGGAAAAGCGTACGTAACACCTGAACCTGTGATTCTTGGGAAGCATGGGACGGCCGTTGTTGGATGTTTGCGTGTTCTTCCCACAACATATGCACACAACTGCTTCGACCGTTCGTATGTTGTCGGCCACATCGCCTTGGCTCTCTTGGGGCAGTTCTAACTCCTCTATAGCCCACTTCTCGAGAACACTGTTCTGTTTGGGGTAGACCCGGGCAAATTCTTCAAGGGACCACGACTCGCTGGCTTCCAGCAGTACAGTTGGTTTGCCAGATGGTGTGTGAGAGCGCCGCAGAAGAGGCTTGATATGGCCTAGCTGGCTGCTGGCTCGACTCCGCCCCCTCCTCATGCCACCACCCACTAATCTGCGGTTCTTCCATGGCTGTCCACGATCGTCGCTGTCCGAATCACTCTCCAATTCATCAGTTAGCCGTGTGCCCAGAGACAATCCCTTATGCCGAGTTCTCCGATCCATGTTCAAACTGTGGGGCACGGAATCTGTGGGAATGCAGATGGGGTGAGTTGGGGACACAATAAGGAGGGGTTGAGATTTGACATTACATGGTGGTCTGTGATGAAGAGGAGCATGGGACCATGGGTGCAGGGGAGCATGGGACCATGGGTGCAGGGGAGCATGGGACCATGGGTGCACGGGAGCATGGGACCATGGGTGCAGGTCTGCATGGGACCATGGGTGCAGGGGAGCATGGGAACATGGGTGCAGGGGAGCATGGGACCATGGGTACAGGGGAGCATGGGACCATGGGTGCAGGTCTGCATGGGACCATGGGTGCAGGGGAGCATGGGACCATGGGTGCAAGGGAGCATGGGACCATGGGTGCAGGTCTGCATGGGACCATGGGTGCAGGGGAGCATGGGACCATGGGTGCAGGGGAGCATGGGACCATGGGTGCAGGTCTGCATGGGACCATGGGTGCAGGGGAGCATGGGACCATGGGTGCAGGGGAGCATGGGACCATGGGTGTAGGGGAGCATGGGACCATGGGTGCAGGTCTGCATGGGACAGTCCTACCATGGGAGTGAAACAGTCCTACAATGGGAGTGAAACAGTAGGGGAAGGGTGGGTGAAACAGTGGGGGAAGGGTGAGTGAAACAGTGTGGGAAGGGGAGTGGGAGCATGGTGGAAACGGGAGTGAAACAGTGGGGGAGGGGGAGTGGGAGCGTGGGGGGAAGGCGGAGTGGAAGCATGGGAGAATGGGAGTGTAACCGTCCATGGAATGGGAGCTGACCCGTCGGGGATTCGGAGTGTAACAGCAATGCATGTTGCATTGGAGGCGTGGGGGAAGGGGAGTGGAAGAGTGTAGGAAGGGGGAGTGTCACAGTGGGGGAAGGGGAGTGAAACAGTGGGTGACGGAAAGTGAAGCGCGGGGGCGGGGAGTGGAAGCGGAGGGGAAGGCGGAGTGGAAGCGGGGGGGAAGGCGGAGTGGAAGCGTGGGGGAAGGCGGAGTGGAAGCGTGGGGGAAGGCGGAGTGGAAGCGTGGGGGAAGGCGGAGTGGAAGCGTGGGGGATGCTTTGGGGAGCATAAGAGTATCGGATCAGCGGGGCATCGGAGCAAGGGAGAAGCACAACGGGGGAGCAGCGAGGCGCGGGAGGGAAGAGGAGCATTTCGGGAGGGGTTGCCTCCCTTACCGTCTACCTAGGACCCGCTCCCTTGGCGTTCGCGCCATGCAGCCTCTTTTATAACTCCGCATTGTCACATTGTAGCAAATGCCCACGGGCATTTGGCTCACAGGCACCTCTTATCGTGTGCAAAGGGGATACTATATGTTTTCGTTGTTGCCTTCCGTCTTTCCGAAATTGACGCATACCCGTATGCGAGTACTGCGGTGAAGGGAAATGGGGGGAGCGGGGTTGATCGAGGCCTGGATCAGACGTGGGAAGGATAGTTAGCATTCCGCGTAGATGCCTAGTGTTTGGCGTGTGCTCCTGGGGGAGCATTTTTGCCCTGTAACTTCCGTCGGAATGCGCTTTTTTGAGTTGCGCAGCCTGCCATGTCATTCCCCTGGTGCGGGCGAGTTTGCATTCTCGCAGTCGTCCGCTGATGTGTATTCGGATTGTGAGTCCTCACGCTTTGTTGGCCTGAAATTCGCATCTAATCCGCAACACCGGATTGCGCTCATACACTGCAGGGTGTGGCGCCTGTCAGTTGGACGTCGCCATGTGCGATGCACTCCATATCGTTTGCAGTCCCAGTACGCACGCTGATGTGAGGGGCGAGGGAGCGTGGGGCTCAATGCCATTGGTCGCTTTCGTGCAGGTCATTTCCTATTCGCGCTGAGCCTATGCGTGTCTCTACCATCACTCACGTACCTCGGTAATCACTGGTATCTGTTCGTCGTCGCCCTTGAACCAGCACCAGTCTCGACTACGTAAGGTCTGATTAGGTCTACGGCTGGTGAGTGTGTTTGTAAGGGGTGTCTCAGTTGTTGATTGCGCAAAACAGTTGACCGAGACCTGGGTTTGGCGTGCGACACCCACTCCGTCGTCTTTGGCTGTCTTGCACACCCCCTGCGATCGAGGGTAAGGGTTTCGCGAAAATGTGAGGGTTCGTGTTGCGAAGTGTTTGTTCTTTGGCGAGTTGAATTTTGGCAGGACGTTTGTTCGTGATTCGTAAGCCAATCAGCCCAACCCTTTTTCTCACAACTGCAAAGCACTTGCTCTACTTGAGACCCTGGCTTTAAATACCCACTGCAGACTAGACAATATGACATTCTGACATTGGGGGCATTTTAGGTTAGGCTCCGAACCAAGTTTCCCAGCCTAGAAGGTTCGGGTACCCCCAACGATTTGTGTTCGCTTCGCAACTCTCGCTTCACCCCACTTCAAACCTTACACCTCGCCAACCAATCACACCCAAACTTTCACCATCAACTTCAAAACACTTGTAGTACGTGAGACCCTGGCTGATCTTTTGGGGGTGCATTCCTGGCACACGCCACAAATCCTCGTGTTAAAAAGATGTGATACAAAGTGGTGCAAATAATCCGCTGGTTTCTATACAAGTTTCAATAGTTATATGCACATTCCTCCCTAGTGCGGTGCGCTCGTCGATTCTGAATGTTATACGGTGTCAATAGGATCGTCGTATATTGCGAGCGTTGCGGTGTCCACCGCTTCACATTCCCCCATGAGATAACCGCATCCGCATCGCATCACTCTGTAGCAGCAGTGATCCAGCCACCATTCATCAACAGCTTCGTGGATCTCCTGCTGCTAGGAATCTCGTCCTCGTCGCGCCGCATCGGCAATTGGCATCTCATCGCTTCGTTGTGGAGCCCTTCTCTCCCCCGTGTTTGGTAGATATAACCACCTCCTTTCTTAGCATCGCCATTCTCAGCATCAGTATCCGTGACTCGCGTGCGCCAGCAGCATGGATTCCAGACTCGCGCTCTTCGCGCTTCTCCTCGCCGCCGTCCTTGTCTCAGGTGACCTCTTACTACCTTCACCTACCCGCCGCGCCTTCTCAAGCTCACCTATCTGCGCGCCCATCCCTCTCGTTCTCTGCGCGCCCATCCCTCTCGTTCTCTGCGCGCCCATCCCTCTCGTTCTCTGCGCGCACCCGCCTTCCGTTCTCTGCGCGCACCCGCCTTCTGTTCTCTGCGCGAGCATCCTTCTCCGCGTCTGAGTGCGCCTCGCTCATTGTGTGTGTGTGAGCGTGCGTGGCAGCGAGCGGCAAGGTGGAGAAGGACGTCAAGCAGCTGCAGATCGGCGTCAAGGTGAGCGCCCCGCCCTCTTGCCCTTACCTTCACGGTCTCCCGTTCTGCGTTGCAACCATCCATCTGCATGCGCTTTCTCCAGTCTTCTCCTTCTCTTTCTCTTTCACTACGCTCCACTCACTCTCCTCCCCTTCCCGTCTTTCCCCCTAACCCCTATGCGCCCATCGCATGCTGCGCTCCCTCGTGTGCTGTGCGCGCCTTGCCCTTTGCGCGCCTTGCCCCATGTCCCCCTCGCGCAGTTCAAGCCGGAGACCTGCAGCACCAAGGCGCGCAACCTCGACACTGTCAGGGTTCACTACAAGGTATCCTCCATACAGTCACGCTTCACTACAAGGTATCCTCGATGCACTCACGATTTACTACAAGGGATCCTCGATACAGTCACGATTCACTACAAGGTATCCTTGATACAGTCACGATTCACTACAAGGTATTATCGATGTAAGGGGTTGGGAACTGCAAGGCACCCCATGGATGGATCCTAGTACTCTGCACGTCCTGCCACCTCGCTTCCCTGCTTCCCTCCTCTTCCCACATCCCCTCTCCACCTCTCTCAGCACCCCCGCCACTGCCTCACCATGCTTCCCACTCGGATCCCACTCATCCCGCCCCCCCTGCCTGCGCCCCCTCCCCCCCACCCCCCAGGGCATGCTGGTGGACGGCAGCGTGTTTGACTCGAGCTACGAGCGCGGCGACCCGCTGCAGTTCCGCTTGGGGCAGGGCAACGTGATCAAGGGTGGGTGGGGGGGCGGCACGTAGGGTGGTGGGGGGGCAGGGCAACGTGATCAAGGGTGGGTGGGGGGGGCAGGGCAACGTGATCAAGGGTGGGTGGGGGGGGCAGGGCAACGTGATCAAGGGTGGGTGGGGGGGGCAGGGCAACGTGATCAAGGGTGGGTGGGGGGGGCAGGGCAACGTGATCAAGGGTGGGTGGGGGGGGCAGGGCAACGTGATCAAGGGTGGGTGGGGGGGGCAGGGCAACGTGATCAAGGGTGGGTGGGGGGGGCAGGGCAACGTGATCAAGGGTGGGTGGGGGGGGCAGGGTAACGTGATCAAGGGTGGGTGGGGGGGGGCAGGGCAACGTGATCAAGGGTGGGTGGGGGGGGCAGGGCAACGTGATCAAGGGTGGGTGGGGGGGGCAGGGCAACGTGATCAAGGGTGGGTGGGGGGGGCAGGGCAACGTGATCAAGGGTGGGTGGGGGGGCAGGGCAACGTGATCAAGGGTGGGTGGGGGGGGCAGGGCAACGTGATCAAGGGTGGGTGGGGGGGGCAGGGCAACGTGATCAAGGGTGGGTGAAAGCCCTCCTTGGCACGAGATGAAGGAAACTTCCAAGTGCTGTTGAGCGTGCTTCTCTGTGCACTGCTACCCCTCGTGCGCCCCACCTTGCCTACGTGCGTGTCCCTATCCGCCCCTTAGCTCAACGCCACCATGCCCACACGCTAGGATGATCCCACCACAGCGTGGAAGGGGAGCTTGTGCACGCCCAAGCCCAACATCCCTCCCTCCACTCTGCATGTACCCCTGCCCTGCTATGTTTTCCTCCCCCTCCTTCCCCCCCACTTCCCATGGACCCGTGGAGCAGGGTGGGACATGGGCATTCTGGGCATGTGTGTGGGCGAGAAGCGCAAGCTCAAGATCCCGCCACACATGGGGTACGGCGAGTCGGGCTCGCCACCCAAGATTCCCGGTATGCTCATGGTTTAGTTACTCCCCCCCCTGGCCACTCCCCACTCACCCTCTGGCCACTCCCCGTCCCGCCACTTCCCCTCATGGCATGCCACTCCCCCTCTTCCCACTGCCCCTCTTCCCACTGCCCCTCTTCCCACTGCCCCTCTTCCCACTCCCCCTCTTCCCACTGCCCCTGTCTGCATGCGCTGCTTACCATGCCGCTCCTCCTCCATAGCTCCCATCACGTCCCCCACACTCCACACTGCCCGTGTGCCCTCTCCCTCCTCGCGTCTGTGCTCCTCCGCATGGCCACGCCTCACTGCCTCACAGCGTCGCCAATGCACCTGCTGCACCACTTGCTTTTTCTCGTTGCACGCTCGCCTGTTCCTGCTTGGATTGGCTGATGCTTGCATTGCACGAAAAGCGCCATTGCAAGCACACCTAAAACACATGCTGCACACTTAAAAACACATGCTGCACACTTAAAACACATACTGCACACTTAAAACACATGCTGCGCACTTAAAAACACATGCTGCACACTTAAAACACATACTGCACACTTAAAACACATGCTGCACACCTAAAACACATGCTGCACACTTAAAAACACATGCTGCACACTTAAAACACATACTGCACACTTAAAACACATGCTGCACACGTAAAACACATGCTCCACACTTAAAACACATACTGCACTCCTCTTCCCTCCCTCCCTCCGCCGTGCCCTGCTTGCCGCCCCCCTCCCCTCTCTCCTCCCTGCCCGCCATGCCCCATGGCACGCCACACAGGCGGGGCGACGCTCATCTTTGAGACGGAGCTGGTGGAGATCGTGGGGGCCAAGCCCGACGACGAGCTCTGAGCACCTCACCACCTTTCACCTCGCACACGCTATCATGCACACAGCGAGAGCGCTGCTGCTGCATCAGCTGCGCATATTGCAACTCTTTTACATGGAATGTAACTCCGTTGATTTTGGGAGTTGTAACTCAGATCACCGCTTAGCACTGGAATGTTGTTTACCTTGTGTGCAACGATATTTTTCTTGGTAGTAGCTACAAGCTGCAAGAACCACATATAGCGAATGTAAAGTTGGCTCCCTTTGACCCAAAACATATTACTGGCCACCAACGCATTCTGCTGTATTACCAAGTTAGCACCGGTCATATGAAAAGCATGCTCCCTGTACATTGCTGCTCCCTGCATATAGCACAGCGACATCATGCCAAGCCAACTGGCCTACTGAGATTTCTTGATCTTGTGCGAGCGAGGCGAAGGAGCAACGCGAGAGAGTGTGTTGAGGAAGGTGTAGACGGAGAAGAGCACAAAGAGCCAGCGGAACCTGCCAGCACGGCCATGGGACAGTGAAGGGGGGATGCGTGCGGGTGATGAGGACGGGAGGGGGCTGTGCCATGCATGGGCGATAAAGGTGGCAGGGAGGAAGATAGAGGAGGTCTCTCGGAGATAGTTTTACGCACCAAACAAATTGGGAGCGATGGGCCCGCATCGCTCGCACGCTGGGCAGCATGTTCGGGCAGATGAAATATATCCTGCTGCCTGCCGTGCTTAGGTATTTTGTGATGAGGAAATGCATCCACATGGCAAGCACCCCCAGGAGCCCAAGAAACTTGACATGCAGCCATGCACTGTTCTGCAGGAGGCATGGAGGGTGGGATGGATTGGAGATGAATGACGGTAAAATGGGGATGGATGGAGGGGATAAAGGAAGGTAAGTGGATGAAAGGGAAGGAAAGACATGGGATTGGAAGACATGGGATTGGAAGGATGTAGCAGGAAATGGAAAGTGCAATGGAGGGGAGTGAAAGCGAGTGAGAGGAACGAGAGTGAAAGGAGGGATGCATGAAAGGAAGGGATGCATGAAAGGAAGGGATGCATGAAAGGAAGGGATGCATGAAAGGAAGGATGCATGGAGGCCATTCGAAATGGAGGGAGCATGAGGGCAGTGGGGAGAGGAGAGTGGTGGCATGGCAGAGAAACTACCCTGACTGCCTGCCACACTCACCAGCTGCCACACTCACCAGCTGCCCCACTCACCAGCTGCCACACTCACCAGCTGCCACACTCACCAGCTGCCACACTCACCAGCTGCCACACTCACCAGCTGCCACACTCACCAGCTGCCCCACTCACCAGCTGCCACACTCACCAGCTGCCACACTCACCAGCTGCCCCACTCACCAGCTGCCACACTCACCAGCTGCCACACTCACCAGCTGCCCCACTCACCAGCTGCCACACTCACCAGCTGCCACACTCACCAGCTGCCCCACTCACCAGCTGCCACACTCACCAGCTGCCCCACTCACCAGCTGCCACACTCACCAGCTGCCACACTCACCTAGCTGCCACACTCACCAGCTGCCACACTCACCAGCTGCCACACTCACCAGCTGCCACACTCACCAGCTGCCACACTCACCAGCTGCCACACTCACCAGCTGCCACACTCACCAGCTGCCACACTCACCAGCTGCCACACTCACCAGCTGCCCACACTCACCAGCTGCCACACTCACCAGCTGCCACACTCACCAGCTGCCACACTCACTAGCTGCCCCACTCACCAGCTGCCACACTCACCAGCTGCCACACTCACCAGCTGCCACACTCACCAGCTGCCACACTCACCAGCTGCCACACTCACCAGCTGCCACACTCACCAGCTGCCCCACTCACCAGCTGCCACACTCACCAGCTGCCACACTCACCAGCTGCCACACTCACCAGCTGCCACACTCACCAGCTGCCACACTCACCAGCTGCCACACTCACCAGCTGCCACACTCACCAGCTGCCACACTCACCAGCTGCCACACTCACCAGCTGCCACACTCACCAGCTGCCACACTCACCAGCTGCCACACTCACCAGCTGCCACACTCACCAGCTGCCACACTCACCAGCTGCCACACTCACCAGCTGCCACACTCACCAGCTGCCACACTCACCAGCTGCCACACTCACCAGCTGCCACACTCACCAGCTGCCACACTCACCAGCTGCCACACTCACCAGCTGCCACACTCACCAGCTGCCACACTCACCAGCTGCCACACTCACCAGCTGCCACACTCACCAGCTGCCACACTCACCAGCTGCCACACTCACCAGCTGCCACACTCACCAGCTGCCACACTCACCAGCTGCCACACTCACCAGCTGCCACACTCACCAGCTGCCACACTCACCAGCTGCCACACTCACCAGCTGCCACACTCACCAGCTGCCACACTCACCAGCTGCCACACTCACCAGCTGCCACACTCACCAGCTGCCACACTCACCAGCTGCCACACTCACCAGCTGCCACACTCACCAGCTGCCACACTCACCAGCTGCCACACTCACCAGCTGCCACACTCACCAGCTGCCACACTCACCAGCTGCCACACTCACCAGCTGCCACACTCACCAGCTGCCACACTCACCAGCTGCCACACTCACCAGCTGCCACACTCACCAGCTGCCACACTCACCAGCTGCCACACTCACCAGCTGCCACACTCACCAGCTGCCACACTCACCAGCTGCCACACTCACCAGCTGCCACACTCACCAGCTGCCACACTCACCAGCTGCCACACTCACCAGCTGCCACACTCACCAGCTGCCCCACTCACCAGCTGCCACACTCACCAGCTGCCCCACTCACCAGCTGCCACACTCACCAGCTGCCACACTCACCAGCTGCCACACTCACCAGCTGCCACACTCACCAGCTGCCACACTCACCAGCTGCCACACTCACCAGCTGCCACACTCACCAGCTGCCACACTCACCAGCTGCCACACTCACCAGCTGCCACACTCACCAGCTGCCACACTCACCAGCTGCCACACTCACCAGCTGCCACACTCACCAGCTGCCACACTCACCAGCTGCCACACTCACCAGCTGCCCCACTCACCAGCTGCCACACTCACCAGCTCACCAGCTGCCACACTCACCAGCTGCCACACTCACCAGCTGCCACACTCACCAGCTGCCACACTCACCAGCTGCCACACTCACCAGCTGCCACACTCACCAGCTGCCACACTCACCAGCTGCCACACTCACCAGCTGCCACACTCACCAGCTGCCACACTCACCAGCTGCCACACTCACCAGCTGCCACACTCACCAGCTGCCACACTCACCAGCTGCCACACTCACCAGCTGCCACACTCACCAGCTGCCACACTCACCAGCTGCCACACTCACCAGCTGCCACACTCACCAGCTGCCACACTCACCAGCTGCCACACTCACCAGCTGCCACACTCACCAGCTGCCACACTCACCAGCTGCCACACTCACCAGCTGCCACACTCACCAGCTGCCACACTCACCAGCTGCCACACTCACCAGCTGCCACACTCACCAGCTGCCACACTCACCAGCTGCCACACTCACCAGCTGCCACACTCACCAGCTGCCACACTCACCAGCTGCCACACTCACCAGCTGCCACACTCACCAGCTGCCACACTCACCAGCTGCCACACTCACCAGCTGCCACACTCACCAGCTGCCACACTCACCAGCTGCCACACTCACCAGCTGCCACACTCACCAGCTGCCACACTCACCAGCTGCCACACTCACCAGCTGCCACACTCACCAGCTGCCACACTCACCAGCTGCCACACTCACCAGCTGCCACACTCACCAGCTGCCACACTCACCAGCTGCCACACTCACCAGCTGCCACACTCACCAGCTGCCACACTCACCAGCTGCCACACTCACCAGCTGCCACACTCACCAGCTGCCACACTCACCAGCTGCCACACTCACCAGCTGCCACACTCACCAGCTGCCACACTCACCAGCTGCCACACTCACCAGCTGCCACACTCACCAGCTGCCACACTCACCAGCTGCCACACTCACCAGCTGCCACACTCACCAGCTGCCACACTCACCAGCTGCCACACTCACCAGCTGCCACACTCACCAGCTGCCACACTCACCAGCTGCCACACTCACCAGCTGCCACACTCACCAGCTGCCACACTCACCAGCTGCCACACTCACCAGCTGCCACACTCACCAGCTGCCACACTCACCAGCTGCCCCACTCACCAGCTGCACACTCACCAGCTGCCACACTCACCAGCTGCCCACACTCACCAGCTGCCACACTCACCAGCTGCCCACACTCACCAGCTGCCACACTCACCAGCTGCCACACTCACCAGCTGCCACACTCACCAGCTGCCACACTCACCAGCTGCCACACTCACCAGCTGCCACACTCACCAGCTGCCACACTCACCAGCTTGCCACACTCACCAGCTGCCACCACTCACCAGCTGCCACACTCACCAGCTGCCACACTCACCAGCTGCCACACTCACCAGCTGCCACACTCACCAGCTGCCCACTCACCAGCTGCCACACTCACCAGCTGCCACACTCACCAGCTGCCACACTCACCAGCTGCCACACTCACAGCTCACACTCACCAGCTGCCACACTCACCAGCTGCCCCACTCACCAGCTGCCACACTCACCAGCTGCCACACTCACCAGCTGCCACACTCACCAGCTGCCACACTCACCAGCTGCCACACTCACCAGCTGCCACACTCACCAGCTGCCACACTCACCAGCTGCCACACTCACCAGCTGCCACACTCACCAGCTGCCACACTCACCAGCTGCCACACTCACCAGCTGCCACACTCACCAGCTGCCACACTCACCAGCTGCCACACTCACCAGCTGCCACACTCACCAGCTGCCACACTCACCAGCTGCCACACTCACCAGCTGCCACACTCACCAGCTGCCACACTCACCAGCTGCCACACTCACCAGCTGCCACACTCACAGCTGCCACACTCACCAGCTGC